CCTCGTTACTTTAACTTATGACTAACTAAGCCAGATTGCATTGGTTTTAATGTGATTACAATAAAATAGCCTTAGGATGGAATAAGTCTCAAAAGTTTAATTCTGTCAAACCGAGCATCTTGCTGGCGATCCTTTATGATAGTTTGGTAATGGCTCCTATAACTTGTTTAAATATGCCACCGTTCTTTTGCATTTAACACTTCCTAGCCAAATGCATTTCAGCTTAGTTGGATTGAAATCTAATTGCTATATTGTGCATAATATGTAAATCAGCTAATAAAACAACAACTGATTTGTTCCTTATTTCTGTTTCTCCCCGTTGTTTGCAAAAGATGTCTGCCGCCATAAAAACTGCGATTTTGTTCTGGCATTGTTCTTTTCCTAAAACTTACAGGAAGGCACAGATTTTCAGCAGTCGATGTTCACAAAAAAGATGGCTGAAGTCACTGTGGTTATGGACAAAAAAGGAAAAAGACTTTATTTATTGGTGAAAAGGTGAAGGACATTCTGTTGGATAGTCCTTGCTTTTGGCTTAAGCAGTCCATGTTTACCGCTTTATCCTGCTTTACTTTTTTCTCTCATACCTGCTTATTTGTGAATTGCAGCAGTTGAGGTTTTTCAAGTAACAGCAAACCAGTGGAATATTTTGGAAAGTATCGTTGGTAAAACTAAATGCCAATAAATATGTGTTGGTTGTTGCCAGATTGACTGATAATAATAATAATAATTTTGATGCTTCAGTAACGTGCATCTGAAGTAAACACATTTGCCTTCTATACCATGTAGTGTGAAACGCTGTATTAGGGTGGGTCTCTGAGCTAGCTGAGCGTTTTCTCTTGATGATGGGTGAGGGTTGTGGGGGGCGGCGTTAATATTACAGGTGTCCCAAAAAAATGTATATCATTTAAGATGTGAATATCTGAATAGCTACATGTCCCAGGCAAACAAAATTAAATAGGCTTCATGTTGAACAATACAAGATTTATTTATCAAAATTCGAACAAAAAATTCAGAGGGGATGTAGATTTTATAACCGATTTCACAAAGCTTCACAGATGTAATATCTTCCAATACTGGTGGTCGTCCAGATCCCTTTGCCCAAAAAAATGATGTCACTTTTTTTGGGACACCTCTCCCACTGTTGCAGGATGACATAATCAAAACTCATTATGGAGGTGGGCAAAAGCCATTTTGATGAAAGACTATGGGAGATAAAATTTTCTTTCAATTGATGTGATATGATAAATTGTGCTTGTTATGAACAGGACATAACAGGAGGTAACAAGGTAAAGAAAGGTCAGGTTTGACTTTAAACGTCACTGGTTGCTTCCATACTTGTGGCCTGTAGTGTCCTTTGGCAACTGATACGATTCCCTCACTAGTATTTTGAAAAATGAAAGACAGTATGAGAAGAAGAGAGAGTAAAGATCGGAGGGAAAAGGAGAAAGGAGAGCTCTTCTGATGTAGGGGAATTCAAAACATGTCACTGGGGCTCTATGTGTCCCTTTTCCACAACCTGCTGTGAGGAATGCGTCGTGAGTAGGGCTGTATGACATTGGTAGAATGCTAGTGTTGTGATTATACTGTTACATCCTGAGACTGATATACCTCAGGATATTAAAAACAGTCATTTGACATTATTAAAGATTGATCAAATTATTTTTATTGTTTACATGAATATCTTGATTAATCTTGATTAAACACCTACAGAAACACTCATCTTGGACTGGGGTTGGTTACAGCACATGGTAACATTGTGATGTTAGGGAGTTAATTTGCATAATTAACAAACAGTATATCGTGCAGATTGACCACCCTCACCCCAAACTTTTATGAAGGTTTATCTTTCAGCTGCCTCAGGTATTCAGATGCTGTATCTGAAAGTAAGTGTGTGTGTGCTGTAGAGAGAGATGTACGTCACTGTTGGAGTGAGTTGGATGCTTTTCAGATGAAGCGGAATATTGGCAGGCAGTTTAACAGCGTAAAGATTTTCATCTTAATTACATTCAAGGTCGAGGTGCTCTTGTGAAAGTTCATTAAGGTAATCAATTTGTAATGTGAAGCCTTATGACAATCTGTGGAATGCTTCTCACACACCCACAAACCCAGGCTGTAGAACATATCTTTGGTAATCATTATTGTATTATTAGTCTTTGCAATACTGCAAAAGGCTGCAATATGCAAATAATCCCTCTAATGGGCGATGTAGCTTTGTGCTATGAGCATCACAGTCCCAGATTGAGTGTTTCTGTGGGTGTTTTGATCAATTAAGATGCAAGATGCTGGAGTACTTGTGCTATTTTTGTTAATATTTTGATACTATAAGTATTATTTTGGAAGCCTTTTACTTTACTTGAGTATTAATGAAGCTGAATACATGTCATTTTACTCAGTTATTCAAGAGACAAAATCTGTATTTTTTACTCATTGCAATTTCATTTAAACCTTCAAAAGTATTACAGATCTAAAAGCAATTCTTTTGCTAATCAGTCCATTTCTATATGACTAATATTTCAAACTGATATTTGGTGCTTGTATTTGTTCTTTTTTGTTGTATCAAGAAATGTGTTGATCAAGATGCTACCATATCGTATCGTACTGATTTATTTCTTTTGTATGTTGCTACACCCCTACTACGTGTGTCTGGCAAGAAAGATGGACCAAATTAGGAATTGAGGACCGATGCCGATATCTAATTTTCAATATACATATTTGCTGATGCTGATGCGAAAACATTTATAAAATGTAGAAATTGGGATTACAGAGGTTTTATATGGTTTTATTTCTATAACATTATAAATGCAAAAATAATAAAATATAGATATTTTAGCCCAGTAACCCAGCATCACCTAAACATTCTATTCCTCCAAAGGACGATAAATATGACATATCAGTTTGAAATATTGTTCAAATATTAACATCTCTCTGCTGCCCGTTAAAAAAGTCTAAAGTGATCTGCTGATACTGATATGGATCTGATATCATTGCTTGTGTCTAATGCCATGTTTATATTAATATTTAAGGTTTCAGTTTAATATTTAAGGTTTCTTGAAGTTTACAAACATTTTTAAGAGTTTGCCAAAGAGGGTTTAGATGAAGCAGAGCTTTCTGGTCTGGATTATGTAGAGCATGATAATCTCAGGCTGAGCATCGTCTTAGTTAGGCTTTCACTCAAATATGTTTATGACTTCATATTTCCACTTTTAACTGAGATTTTGACACAGTGCCCATATTTGCACACACAGTTTCTCTGTCATTTTCCACCTCTGTTGAGCTGTTCATGTAATCTAACAAAAGTAAATTATTTTGGTCAAAATAATGCAGGTATGTCTTTAACCATGTCACATTCTTGATTCACCAGTGTGTTTTAAGAATACAGTATACCTATGTGATCAAAACACAATCACACACACCTCCTTTTCCTCATTTCCCACATTCACAAGCAGAAGTATTGTGAATATTTCCATGAGTGAGCACCAGAAAGGAGCTACAACAACAGACATACTTTTCCCACTTATCAGATTGGTTCTGGCCTGCTTTCCCCTGAGAGTGATTGTGCGGAGTTAAACACAGAAGGGATGGAACTGGAGTGATGTTTTATGATCCTCTCTCTGATACTCATTTATCCTTCCATCCATCGTCCTGCCCACATCTCTCCCTCATCTCTTCCCTCAGCTAATGTTCATTCACTGCCCTGTGCGTGCACACACACACACACACACACACACACACACACACACTATCTCATTTAAATGAAGGATAGTGTGTCAGTGGGTTCCCGCAGGCTTTCTCTGAACATCCAGAGAGAGTGGATCAAATTCCACCACTATCACACCTGTGCTGCGGTCAGGAGCATACACAATGTGTGAGTGTGTGTATGTGTGTTGGGATGGGACTTACTTGAGGCCCCATGATGCTATAATATCATAATACTTAAGCCACAATAGCATTTTTGACATTTTTACATATTTGCCATATTGCTAAGTGTTGCAACTGTGAAATATTGCAGTATGTTTTTATTCACAGTGGTGGTGATAGAAAACAGATGTCCAAAGTATTAAATGCTTCTAAAAGATCCCTCACAAATTAAATTAATAAAGTTTTATTGGAATGCTTAGAAAAACACTGCCTGATGCCTGAGACATTATGGATGTTTATGATGTTTTTGAGGCTTTGGCTTATTTTTCTAAAATTCATTCATAGTGGAAAAATACAACGCAGGGTAAAAAAGTACAAAAATAAAAAAGTTATTGCACTTTTAACATTAATTTACCATTATCAACATTATGTATTAGGTGTAGGTACACTAGTTGTTTTGGAGAGTGAATAAAATGGCTTTACTTGTGTGACCTCTGGTTCCTATCAACACCACTGTAAAGAAATCCTATTTCAGCCCCATTTCACATTAAATAGCTGACTGTGTTTACATCTTGATAACTGAATTATGCAGGAATTTGGAAAAAAATTGTGGATTTTCCTTTTAAATGCAAATCACACCTCCAAAATAATACTTTGTTTTATCTCTTCATCTCACTTCAGTATGTATATTGATGCAAAATAGAATTGTAAAGTAGGTATATAAACTTCTGAAACACATTCTAAAGGCACAGCCAGCAGTTTCAGAATGAATATTATGGGCAATAGTGTTAGTCTCACCAGAAATTAAAAAAAGAAATGCTTCTGAGTGACACCTTGTGGACTAAGAAAATAATGGGTTTTGGTATCATTATTTGTATTTATCTACCAATGGGCTTATTACACAGAAATAATATGAATACATATTAATACTATGACGTATTGACTCTTTTATCAATGAGACAGAGGCTGTTAGAACATCAGACAGACTGCAACATCTGTTGGACGTGGCAAACTTCAGAACAACAGAATTCCACCTATAAGTACCCAATAACCTTTGGAGAGAAATATTCATGCACGCTTTTCTTAAAATATTCTTTATTTCTGTGTGTGTGTGTGTGTGTGTGTGTATGTCTGTCTCTCAGCTGCTTGTAGTGGTAAGGTGGAGCTGCACACTGAGAGAAGGGGTGTCATCTACAGTCCGTCCTGGCCACTTAACTACCCTGCTGGGGTCAACTGCTCGTGGAACATCCAGGGAAACCGTGGAGAGGTCATCACTATAAGGTAGCACCATCACACACGCAGCTCACACACTGACAAACTTATCATGGTACTCATTAATGTAGAATAGTGTAATCACATTTACACAGTTGATCAGCCAAAACATGTTTGGTGTCTGTAGTAGTTCTGTATTGGAGCTATCAGGTTAATGTAGCTAGCAAGTAGCGGGCAAGCCTCTGATTAGTTTAACGCAAGCTGCATGTCTAATGCTGCGTTTACATGCTGGTGCTGAAAAAAACATTGTTCCATGCCTAATAGCAATACTTGACTGACAGCAGCATGCAGTCTTGGAAACAGTGCCATGGTGACAGTGTCACTGAAAATGGATGATTATAAGAGGAGAGTGTATTTATTTAAGATGGAAAGAGGCGGCAGGATGCTCTGTGGTCCTGATGCTCTGGAATTCAACAATGAGACATTTGGCATCCATGAATCACAAAAAACCAACATATGGCTTATTTCACCCTCATGGTTGATAGCAAAAGTTGAAAATACTAGAAAATCTCAGTTGATCTCTTCCCTACTACGGTTTGTTGTTGTTGCTGCTGATGGTGGTGGAATTTGCCAATGCTGCTGCATTGAAAACAAGGAAATGTCCAGTTTGCCATCGACTGTCTACAGTCATAAATTGAACACAGTATGTCACTGTATGACTGTTAAAAAATGGACAGAAGAAAATTGCTAAGGTAAAAACAGTAGTTGCATCTTGAATCCTGACATTTTGTCCATACTTTTGTCCACTTATGTAGTTAACAGTGTGGCATGCAGTGTAAGCAAATCTATTTGGCAACTCCACGTGGTTTGAGGAAAGTGTGATTTATTAGTTTGCTTGATGCTAATAGGTGTAGTATAAATGTCTATTACTTGTTATTAGCTTTGTAGCTCCTATCCAAAACTAAGAAAGCAAACCTCAGACACAGAACATGTCTTGACTCACTGACTGTGTTTGGTGTAAGTGAAATATTGTGGAAAAATTTGATATTTAACCGCATTATTTCTTTAAATATTATTATATACAAAACTTTACATATAGCACTGAATGAGGAACAATTCAAGGCTTTGAACACTTCCACTATGTCTTTGGTGAGCAAGTACCTTCCTTTGCTGTCCTTCAGTTTGTAATGGAGTCCTGGCACTGTTTTATGATGATGAACTGCTCCTGTTTTAGCCCTATAGGAGACGCCTCATTGGGTGTTTCAGCTGCAAGTGATGAATTGAGCCCAGTGAGCTTGCTAATACTGCAGTAGAACAGTTTGATTTGTTCAGTTTTTGTACATCAGATACAGTTACATACATACATGTGGGGTTTTCCTAGCTTTTGAGCAAACTAAAGGAAAACTAATCCTTATTGCAACTTTTTCTAGATGTACAGATGCATATATTGGTCTAGAGTAGTTAGTTTGCCAGAATCTATTCATACCAATGAACAGATCCTGATACACTGCACGCTACTGTGGATTTTGTCTTTATTGAGGATTTGTTTTGCCTTCATGCCGCCACATACATTTCAGTTTTTGTTTATCATAAAGATAATTTGAAAACTCCCTATGTAGTGCACTATGTAAAAAATTATGAAGTCTGTAACCCAAGTAATGCAAAATATGCAACACTTAAATCCACTGATGTTTCAGCCATATGGTGCATAGCTTTCCATAGATGTACAACACATTATTTGTGTGTGGATGTCATTTGTGACCTTAGTAGTGCCCTATGAAGAGGAATATGGGGAGAATTCAAACGGTGCTCATCACTTTGCTAATGTTAAATATGACTAATAAATGTTCATAATAAATGTTCAGTAATATAGCTCAAGTTGGCAGACCTGTCTCAGGCCGTCTGTGTGCCAGGAGCATTTGAGTATACTTTCCATTATGAGGATTACTTATGAGGTTAGCCATGAGCTTTAGTGTGATGACATCAATGATGACTTTGCCTCAAGGAAATATAAAGGTAAGGTAATTTTTTCATCAGTAATTTATTCTAGAAGTAAATACAGCGAAAGAACCGCTGGGTTAACGTCATGATTACCAGCGGATAATGGTAAAGTGGTGTTCTGTGATGAACTGAGAGAACAAAAAGTCTGATGTAGCATCATCTGCAAGATCAAGGAGTAAATGTATGCACAGCACGGGTTTCAAGCCTGGCAACTTTAAAGTGTTTTTCTGTGAAGGACACAGAAACTAAACTCTGATGTTTAGTTTCTGTGTCCTTCCCTTGAACATGGATCTGATTAATACAGCACGGCACTTTTTAAGGCTCTAGCGAATGACATCGTGATGGCTTGTGTCTTTTGAGAAGTGAGAAGTAAATGTTAACGTGACAGAATTATTGATGTTTATTGGTCGAAGTTTATTGGGGATATTCAGCTAGATTTCCTTCCTAGAGTCCCTTTATACAGCTGTATAACTATAAAATTACAGGGAGCAAAAAAACTTACTATGTATGGGTATGTATGGATTGGCACTTACAGTGCAGTCTAGAAGTCTGAGACCAATTTCAAAATTCTGCAATATTCTGTATTTCACGTTTCTACATTTTCAGTGTGATCTCAGACTTTTGGACTCTGCTCTGTGTGATCATATGCTACAGATGTGGCGGACAGAAATTAGGTTGAAAAATACCAGAGTATTCCTTTAACATTCTACAGCGACCTTCTGTAGTTTGGTGGTTGAGATCAGAGAGAGAATGTGGTACTGTGAGTACTGGGTTATGTGGGTTTGCAGTAAACAGTTCTGGACTAAATCGCTTCATTAGTCCTGATTCTCCACTGAACAGGGAGAATGTGGTAGTCTGTGTCCAGAAATGTCCTCCAGGATTTATAGGCTGTTAAAGGCACTTTTAGGGTCTGTTGCTACTGATTGTCAATTTTATCTGGCTGTGCTTGTGTGCTTCTCTGATCTTGATAGAACTACAGTTAGGCCTTTACTGCACTGCAGACTCACTTATCATCTCTCTCTCTCTCTCTCTCTCTCTCTCTCTCTCACTCTCACTTACTCACTCACTTACTCACTCTCTGTCTGGTATGTCAAGTCCATTCAAGCGTGCTGCATAGAAAAACACAATGTGGTGGCTTAAGAATGTTTCACATGCTTGTTTAGCAAATGCAGTATCATACTGAGTCTTTGTAGCATCCTAGAAATCATTTCCTCCCTATTCAGTCAGAGCCAGTTCCCACTGTAGCTGCTTCCTCCTCCATCTCTACAGTCGTACCAGTCTTCGAAGTGTTTGAAGCAGGGCTTGACTGATAGGAGAAGTAAAAGCTCAAAATTCTAATAACTAATAGTAGCCAATATAATGTTATGGTCAAAAAATGAACAAACTATGAGTTTCAGTTTCAGTGCTTTACTGACTGGTATGATGGTCAGATTTTTTGAAGGTCCCGATTCCGTAATTTTTCCCTTCGTTCAAAACTCAGCAGCCGGTCCTCACTTACACCAAACGCACTGCACACATGACCCTCCCCTCCAGCAGTTTCGCTGATTACCAGCATCTTCCTGGATCAAGTACAAACTTCTCCTAACTTTTAAAGCAGTTCATGGTCTCGCTCCTATATACTTCTCTGAGCCCCTTTCATCCTTATTGTCCCTCTTGCTCCCTCAGATATTTTGGGACTGGACTTCCTGTAGCTCCACGCACAAGACCCTCATCAGTTGACTGGAGGTTTTTTAGTGCTGCTGCATCTGTACTTTGTATTTCTTTGCCACAGGGATTTCTAACTTCTCTTCCTTTAAAGCTCGACTTCCTCAACCGAATTGTCATTACTGCATGCTATTCTTTTTGGATAGGAGCTACGAAGCTAACCACAGGGATTCCCAATGATTGTATGATGTATTTGCATAAAACGTGCTGTATAGTAGTGAGAGAACATGGCATGAAAGTGATAAATCATGAATTCTGTCAGACCGATAATGCTAACACTTCATTGGTGGTCAAGCAACTTGAGCATAGCCTGCCACAGATGGTGCATGGCATGGCTTGGATTCAAACTCCAATCTTGAGCAGCGTACTGCTGTGTACAAAGGGTTGCTTTGGCTGTGAGAACCCTTTTTTTCCATACTTTCTTTATCTCTGTCTCATTCGTTTGTCCTTTATTTGGCAGCTTCCACAGCTTTGACGTGGAGGACTCTGGAGGTTGCCGTGGCGACTGGCTGCTGCTGGGCCCCACCTGGAAGGAGGAGTACCGGGTGTGTGGCTCCGTACTGCCCCCTCCCTTCATCTCCTCCAGGGGACGAGTGTGGCTCCACTTTCACTCACAGGCCAACAGCTCGGGCCTGGCTCAGGGTTTCAGACTCTCCTACATACGCAGTGAGTGAACACAGAGTGAGCACAGACTCTCCCACATATGCAGTGAGTGAACACAGACTCTTCCACATACACAGTGTGTGAACACAGAGTCTTCTACACTCACAGTGAGTGAACACAGACTCTCCCACATATGCAGTGAGTTAACACAGACTCTCCCCACATATGCACTGAGTGAACAGACTCTCCCACACCTGCAGTGAGTGAACACACACTCTCCTACACACGCAGTGAGTGAACAGACTCTCCCACACCTGCAGTGAGTGAACACACACTCTCCTACACACGCAGTGGTGAACAGACTCCCCCACAGTGAGTGAACACACACTCTCCCACACCGGTGAACAGACTCCCCACCTGCAGTGAGTGAACACACACTCTCCTACACACGCAGTGAGTGAACAGACTCTCCCACACATGCAGTGAGTGAACACACACTCTCCTACACACGCAGTGAGTGAACAGACTCTCCCACACCTGCAGTGCACACCTCTCCTACACACGCGTGAGTGAACAGACTCTCACACATGCAGTGAGTGAACACACACTCTCCTACACACGCAGTGAGTGAACAGACTCTCCCACACATGCAGTGAGTTAACACAGACTCTTCTGCACACTCAGTGAGTTAACACAGACTCGCCTGCACACGCAGTGAGTTAACACAGACTCGCCTGCACACGCAGTGAGTTAACACAGACTCTCCTACACACGCAGTGAGTTAACACAGACTCTCCCGCACACGCAGTGAGTGAACACAGACTCTCCTACACACGCAGTGAGTTAACACAGACTCTCCCGCACACGCAGTGAGTGAACACAGACTCTCCACATGTCAAATACAAGTAACTAATTACTTTTCTCAAATTGTAATAGAATTATTTTACTTAGTACTTTTCTTTTTTCACCTCTTTTTTCTGTCTTTCTGTTTCTACCTCTCTCTCTTGCTCACTCTTGTTCTCTCTTCTATCTTGCACTTTCTTCTCCCTCGCCCTTTTCTCTTTCTTTATTTCTTCCAACCTCTCATCTCTCCCACGCTGTTTTTCTCTTTGTACTCTCTCTCTCTTTTCCTTCCGTGTATTCTCTCTATTCTTTCTATTTTACTTGTTCTTACTCGTGTGTCTCTCTCTCTCTCTCTCTCTCTCTCTCTCTCTCTCTCTCTCTCTCTCTGTCTTTCTCTTTCTCTCTCTCTCTCTCTCTCTCTCTCTCTGTCTTTCTCTTTCTCTCTCTCTCTCTCTCTGCAGGCCGTTTGGGTGAGAGTCGTTGTGAGAGTGATGAGTATTTGTGTGGTAATGGGAAGTGTGTGCCGCGGTCATGGCGCTGTAATGGTTTAGATGAGTGTGGTGATAACACTGATGAGCGGAATTGTGCCCCCCTGCCCACACTCGTCCACTCCAGCCTGTGCCCTCCAGGCACCCTGCAGTGCAGCCATGCCCAGTCCACACGCTGTCTGCCCTCCGCACTGCGCTGCAATGGAGCGCTAGATTGCCCGGATGGCTCAGACGAGGCCCACTGCCCCGACACCTCATGCGGAAAACGACTCGCCAACTTCTACGGAACATTCGCCTCACCTGATTTCTTCAGGCCCAACAGGAGCAGCGGGACAGACTTGTACTGCACCTGGCTTCTGGATACACAGGTACAATAGGAGGTTTGTTTGATTGAGTTATTTATTTATTTAGGGAAAACAAGGACACATCATATCATTGATGCGAAGCACCAGTCTCACACAGCACCCCTGCTGTTTGTTTATCCTGTGTTCCACAGCCTAGCTGAAGTATCATTATTCAAGTGAACAAGTAAACAGTTTTCATATCAGCAAACAGTTGTTGTATTGCAATGGCAAATTTAAGTAAGTGGCTTCCTTACAGGTCAGTTCTTAGTCCTGAAATCTCGGCATAAGACTGTAATACTACAGCTTAGGTAGAGATACACAATGCACAATTCACACTCATATACATTTCTTTATTTATCCCCTCAAAATGCTCCTCACCTTTAAGTCCCCCGTTTCTCTCCTCCCTTCCCCCCTGCACTCCTGTAGGATACAAAGCCTGTGCTCTTGCGTTTGGACCTGCAGCTGGGCGTAGGGGACTCTCTGCGTGTGTACGATGGTTTGGGGGAGAGAGCGGAGCGGCTGCTGCAGAGTCTGTCCCACCACAACAATCATCGGCCCGCTGTGCTGGAGTCATCGCAGGGTCAGATGAGCGTGCTGTACCACGCCAAACCACACAGCCAAGGACATGGCTTCAACGCTTCGTACCAGGTGTGCATCAGCATGCTCATCCTTGAGCTGTCTCTCATGGGGTTTGTTTTGGAGAGTTTAGCAGTGCTACACTAGTTTAAATATTACAAATGGCGTTATTACCCCCCGTATACACACAACTTTCTACACTATACAGTAGGGCAAGTCCAAAACTTTGCATCCAATACCAGTTTTAAAAGGCTAAAAATTCTGCTAACCAAAACTATCGTGGATACAATTTTATATTTATATTTTGGATTTTTTACTCCAGTTTTTAGTTTAACAGTACTTTACTAACATATGATTGTCAGTTCAGTTGTCACACTTCTTAAGCAAATAGACGGCAAAAAAAAACTCTCTCTCTCCCTCTTTCCCCACCAGGTGAAAGGTTATTGTTTCCCGGGTGAGTTTCCGTGTGGTCCAGATGAGGGTTGTTACTCCCAGCAGCAGCGCTGTGATGGTTATTGGCACTGCCCAGGTGGCCGGGATGAGGAGAGTTGCCCCCCTTGCCCGCCAGGACAGTACCCTTGTGAGGGGGGCGGTGGAGCGTGCTATCCAGCAACTGAGCGCTGTGATAACCAGAAGAAATGCCCGGGAGGCTCAGACGAGAAGAACTGCTTCTCCTGCCAGCCGGGCAACTTCCACTGCGGCACCAACCTCTGCATCTTCGAGACATGGCGCTGTGACGGTCAGGAGGACTGTTTGGATGGCAGTGACGAACGAGACTGTCCGGCTGCAGTGCCCCGCAAGGTCATCACCGCTGCGCTGATCGGCAGCCTGGTGTGCGGCCTGCTGCTGGTCATCGCCCTGGGCTGTGCTTTCAAGCTCTACTCTCTCCGGACAAGGGAGTACCGGTAGGCTTAGGCAATGAGCCATAACAATAGTTATCAAAATCAAATGTCAGTTCAAATGTCAGAGATTTTTTTCCGCTTAAATGTTGATGCCTTTTGGGGGTGACATGCACCCAATTTTCTAGACGGGGTGCAGTTTCACAGCTTCACATCCATGCCATAAATGTTAGAGCTGAGAGGGACCTCTCATTGTTGTGACTGGGAGACCAAATTATTATCCAAAAAAACAATGGGGATACTGGGAGCCTTTGTGCTCTGTAGCAAATATTCAGAGTGAAAGCACAGAAGCTACTTAGAGAGGGTGATGGTGTTTTCGGCGAATCAGCACAGAAATATAAATGTAAAAGTTTTAATTAGTCTCTAAAAACAGCAGATTTAAATTTTGATGGGGTACGTGATCCTCAGCCACCATGGCTCTGGTGCTGTTCTCAATCTAGTATTAACAGGAAAGGCTTGAACAGTCACAGCTTTAGTACACTAGGTGGTGATGTTTGCCTTTCACTCAGTAGATGGAAAAGTCTAGCTGTTCATTCACAACATCACAACCAGAGGGTCAGTTAGCAAAGTTAGCTAGGTGGCTATTTTCCACATTACATTGGTGAAGAACAACAAAAAAACAAATAAATATTGCTAAAAAGCCTCTAAGAACATAAGGAGGTTGTGATAACGGAGTTGTCTTACAGCAGATGTAACATTAGTATTTTGTTTTCTTCATAATTCAAATGCGATTCAGATTAAAAATAGAGCATTAGAAAATATAGTACAGTTATAATTGTTGATAATACAGATGTCAAATGATATGGAAATATACAGTATATGTTATCTATCTTTGTCTTTTGTATTTATTGTGCTGTCACTCTACTCTCTCCCCACTCCCTTTCTTTCTCTCACTCTGACACGATTATCATCTCAGTCATGATTCTATTTCTGTAGTCTTAAAAGCACAGTTTAGTGTGCTTGCACTCTCTCTCTCTCTCTCGCTCTTTCTCTCTCTCCATTACATCACTCTTCCTCCCATCTGTTCTTTGCTGACTCAGTTTCTTTCCTCCTCCCATCACCTCTCCTCTTTCCTAAGCCTTTATTAGATTTGTGCCAGACCACACTCTCTCTCTCTCTCTCAATGTTTCTCTCCTTCTCTCTCTCTCTCTGTGTCTCTGTCTCTCTCTCTCTCTCTCTCTCTCTCACTCTCCCTCCCCTCTGTCTTGAGTGGTCTTCCTCCCTCTCTCTCTCTCTCTCTCTCTCTCTCTCTCCCTCTTCTCTCTCTCTCTCTCTCTCTCTCTCATGCACACATGCACAAACACTGTTCTTCTCACAAAAGTCAAATCAAAATCGAGCTTTAGCTGTTAACTGCTGAAACTGTTAAGCTGATATAGCATCGCAGGTTTATAGACACTCCGGATTCTCACTATTGATCTGATCTACAGATAGACGAGATGGACAGAAAGAGAGTGTCAGACAGAGAGAGAGAGAAAGACCTCAAGGCAGCTGATTGGCTCTGCTTGGCTATATTTAGCCTCTAATGGCATTGCCCTTGTTTCCCTTCAGACAAAATTAAATGCTGGTTTGTGCCAGCAGGATCTAATGCAGATTTGCTGGACTTTACACAAACCTGCTCACATTTAAAGTTATAAATGATTATAGTGATAGTTCAGCCAAAAAAAGTCCTAAGGAAGAACTCTTTATAATAAGCAGTTGTCTGAAGTTTGCATCTTTAGTTTTGTACTGGAGGCTAATGAAGCTAACAAGTAGCTTAATGGAAGCTGGAGAGAAATACAGAGAAAAATATCTAGACAAAATTCAGGCTTCCTTTTGTCCAGAAAAGGCATTAGCAAACCTATTAGAGATTGCTTAACACCTCATTGCAATTTGAGTCAAGTGTGTGGTGATTTGGGCATTGCTAACTGATGAGCATCGATTTATAAGTATCCCTTACTTCTTAGCTATATCAGCCTCTTGGCTCCAGTACAAAACTACAGATCTCTCCAATCTCTCTGTCTGTCTCTTTGCGTCTCTCCAGAGCTTTTGAAACACAGATGACCCGGCTGGAGGCGGAGTTTGTGCAGCGAGAGGCTCCTCCCTCTTATGGTCAGCTGATAGCTCAGGGTCTCATACCTCCAGTGGAGGACTTTCCTGCTTACCATCCTGCTCAGGTATACACACTCCACACAGGAACCCTCAAACACTCGAGATGTCTACACACACTTACTGAGGTGGGCAAACAGCGGCGATGGTACTAGACAAAACCTCTGCTGTTCACTCTCTATATGTGTATAACGGTGTCACAACTATTCAGTTTGATCAGGAAATGATAAAATCTTGAATTTACAGTTTCATCTATTTTTGTACAATTCATAATATTTGAAAATTACAATGTCTACACAAATGTGACTGGAGTAAGTATTTACATCAGGGGTGTCAAATCTAACCACTGACAAGGCCACATTAGAAAACTTCAGCAAATCTGTGGGCCAGAAAACGTGTATGTTTTTATTTTATTTTTAAATAACATTTACTATAACCTGAACTGGCCATTGTATATTCAGAATATGGCAAAACCTCAACAGCAAAATATAGGCACTTGTATTAAACTATGTGCTACCTACCTGTGTGCTGCTAGACACATTTTTAATTTATTCTTGGGATCCATTTTTGAGCTGCTAAGCTAAGTGTTTATATTGGTTTTTATGGATATTAGGTTGGAAGTTGCAAACTGAGGTTTTGCGCGGTTCAATAGGTTTAGATGCATACTTGCTGTTTTTAGCCTCCAACTGACTGTAAATTGTTTGTCTTCAAAGCTTCATTTGAAAAGACCTCTGAGCTGTACTGCTGCAAAGCTTTGCCACAGCCCACAGGTTGAAATCTATTGATCAGTTCTAACATTAGCAAATCGATACAGTTGAATTGTCACCTTCATGGTGTATTGGTGCCTTTTTACACCTCAGCTGTAAACATGATCTCTCTGGAACCAGCTAGTCTCACAAGCCAGACTTCTGCCTTCTGCCTCCAAGAGTCTGGTGAGTTTTGGCCCTTAACGTGGCCAAGACCCACCTACTTTGAGAGCAGAGGTGGGGGAAAAATCGATACAGCATATTATCACAATATTTTGCATGGCAATATTGTATCAGTACATGGATGGCAAGTATCTATACATGGACCCCATTTATATATTCCATTATTTAAATTGCAAATATGAATGAATCTTTTTGGTACTAGAATAATGGAATAGAATAATTTTTCAGACCAGTAGATGGTGCTGAGGTTTTTCTGGTGACGTTAGCAGAGGTGACAGTCAGAAAGGACATGGATGTGATTCATGTAATTTACAAGGAATGTTGTATGAAAATAAAACACCTTGGAAATACTACAGACATGAGGGCTCACCTCACACACCACCATCCAGAGATGGCAAATGAGGCGGAAGTTGGCTTCCTATTCGCCAGCTTCACATTTTCCTGTTCCACCTTAAACAGTGCAGGAATTACATTGTGGCGCCAGAAAATAATATGTCTACAAACTCTTTAGTGGTCACCCATAACTTCCTGTTTCACTGGGGTAATAGAGAACTTATTGTTTGAATTTTTAGCTTCTTATTTGCCAGATTCTTGTCCAGATTTCCTGTTCCACCTTAAATGGTGCAGATTTTGGTACCTCACATTAAATCAGCTCCACTGGAAAAATCGGCTTGACAAAGCTACCTTCCAATTCTAACCTCCAGCGAAGTGTAGCACAGGAATGGGAGATTGCCGACAAAAATCTTGTGGTTGAATTTGCAGTTGAAAAAGGTAACAAATCGCAAGATATGCCAGTATGTCGTAATATGTTTAAATTCACAATAATATCATATCACGGGCCTTTGGTGATTCCCACCCCAATTGTTAGCCATGTTGCCTTTAGCTTGCTAACTAACCAGCTAGTATAGGAAAGTGAAGTAGTTTGTAGCTTAACCCCTTACATGGCTGCTGGTTGGCCCAAAGTTTTATCATACACTTCTATAACCTATGAATAGCTCAACCGGTTTGCATTGAAGTCCCTGTAGTTACTGAATAATAAGCCTTAGTATGTAATAAGCCTGGAATTTTAAGGGGTTAAAGCCTAGCAAATCGAATGTGATGATTTTGAAATGTTAAGCATTTTAAGGTAGCATCACATCACAATGATTTCTGGGCAAGTTCTTCTGCTGAAGTCAACATTAGTGTTCGCCCAGTCCCTAATCTAACACCTTTCAGTTGCGATAATTATGGAACAGCCCTTAGGATGGCCCTGGGGATTCCCCGAGGGGAAATAATGAGTCCGAGCAGATTAGGGCTTGTTAAAACCAATCTTTAAACTGGGCAGGAGATGGCTAACCTAGTGAGAACTGTGCATCAGCACAACCGTGCCTCCCACCCACAGACATACCTGTGTGTCCAGTCTTCAGCTCCATGTGAAGACAATTCTGTTGTCTGTGTATGTGTGTGTCTGGAAAGTCATCCTTTGTGATAGAAGTATTGTGTGTGTCATATCCGTTGAGGATTTCTCCTGAGGAGAGTTAAAGCTGTGTAATGCTCACGGATGTAGGAAGCTTAACTGTTTCAGCCTTAACCTGGAGAATTTTAACACCGAATTACATCCTGTTTTTCGTCCTCTACCTTCTCATCCTCCACACTGCACAGGAAGGAACTACATCACTCAGCTTGGTAAAGCAGTAGGCTGGGTGTGGGTGCAAGTTTTGTAAAGGATTTTTTTTTATTTTATTGTAGTGCCTGGCCCACGCTACAGGAGTTTTTCGATCGTCACTGATGTTGAAAACGTTAAGGCTCCCCACACATAATGACAGATTCCAATGATTCTTTTTTGTCTTTAGCCATCCTTCAGTCATCAAAGCCCCCTCGCTGCAAGATTTACGCGGAACAAAACACTGCACACTTTCAGAATTAGTGCACTAATCTGCAGCCTGATCAATGGTCCTGTCTCCCAGACCATCAGATTTCCCAGAATTTCTCAAGAACAAATATGACTTTAGATGAAAACTAACAGACGACTCAGATTGCTATGTAAGCTGTGTGTACATTTAGTAGTGTAAAAGTGAAATAAAATATGTAATGTAATGTAGATTCAGAACATAAATTTCATCCTTCCATTCAGCTCTGCTCTCATTGGTGATCTTTTATGCATGACGTCAGCCCAGTGTTTCTTATGAGTAAATCAGTGTTTCCTCACACTGCAGCATTTTGAGTTGTGCATATTGAACACGTATTGAAAATCAGGCTGGTCACGACTGAACAGTGAGTAAATCAGAGGGGTAAAGATTGGATTATTCATACCACACACCACAGGATCTTGGAAGTTAATTGTTTAAGACCATCCTCAAATCAGAACTCCTTTTGCAGCTGTCGGGAGGGGCAAATCGGCCTCTAAATTATTCTGTAGTGTGGGCCAGGCATAAAGTATTTTTATGATTCAGTGTCAGACAGGCCCCTTAACATCTTTATCAAACTTTTTATTGCTACGTATGCTATTTTACACCCGTGACTCAAGGATAGCTATGATATCTTAAAAACATATTTCACCTATTGGTCTATATTAGAGCAGCCATTTGGTTAAGACATGGCAAAAGCAGACAAACAAGAAAACTGTGTAAAAAAGTAGGACACCTGCTCATCCAGCTTGTCTTCTGAAATCAAGTATATGGATAGGGAGTTTGTCCCCTCTTTTCTACAGTAACAACCACTACTCTTCTGGGAAGATCTTACACTTTTACACAAGATGTTGGAACATTGGTTTGAGGATTTGATGCATTCAGCAAAAAGAGCCTTAGTAAGGTCAGCTACTGATGTTGGATGATTAGTACTGGATGACAAACTTCACTCCAACTCATTCCAAAGGTATTGAATGGAGCTCCATCACTCCAGAGAACGCAGTTCCACAACTCAACACCCAAGTACTGGGGGGCTTTATGACCCTCCATATGACAGACAAACATCTAAAGACAGAATATGGGAAGGTTGTGAAGGTCACAGTATGAATTGAATATATCAGGGACATGGCCTCCAGTTACGAGGCGATGGCTGAGAGCTTTATATGTAGCCGATGCCAGAGCAGCTTATTACCTCTAAACTCTAGCAGCAGAAATTCTCTCACGACTGATTGATTTGCATTCAAGATGAAAAGGCAAAGACTGTCTCCATGGAAACGAGAAAATGTACTGCTGAATGATTGATGGGTTTGACAGATCAGCAGACCCCTCCTTCTTCTGTCTCTCTCTCTCTCTCTCTCTCTCTCTCTCTCTGTCTTGTGCTCTCTCTGTATTTCTCAGTTCAATTCAACACATAATGATATATTTGAAGTGGCAGTTTGAGTTACAAAGTTTGAGAATATTAGTAGAGAGCCGAATATTTTAAAATCTGTAAGTAAGAAAATCACAGCTGAGCTTGAACATTAAACATCACAACTGTAAAAAAAATTGAGAAAAAATTAATACACTACATGGCTGAAATTATTCGGGCAGTCCAAAATACACTTGCAGTTAGTGTGTTCAGTTATTTCAGCCATACCCATTGCTAGCAGGTGTGTCAAGCATACTTGCAATCTCAATAAACGAATGCTGGCTCAATATGGCACTGTCATGGGACCTTTCCAAAAAGTGAATTTGTGAAATTTCTGCCTTGCTAGAGCTTCCCTAGTCAACTGTGAGTGCTGTTAATTTGAAATGTAAATGTTGAGAAGCAACAACAGCTCAGCCATAAAGCAGAAACCACACAAGCTCACAGAACAGGACACCTTAGTGCTGAAGCAAATAGCATGGAAAAATTCTCTGACAGACAAATCTAGGTTTGGTGAATGCCAGGAGAGTTCTACCTGCTCAAAAGCACTAATTTTGATGGAGGAGGAATGATGGGTTAGGGAAGTCCCAATGCAACAGCATACAATGGCATTTTAGAGAATTGTGCGATCCCTACTTTGTGGCGACAGCTGGAGGTAGGTCCTTTCCTGTTTCAGACAATGCCCCTGTGCTCAAAGTGAGGTCCATAAAGAAATTGTTTGCTAAGTTCGGTGTGGAAAAACTTGACTGGCTTACACAGAGCCTTGACCTGAAAGCCATCAAACTCTTTTGGAATAAACTGGAAGACCCACTGTGAGCCAGGACTGACCTCAGTAATGATGGAGGGAAATCCCCACAGTTGTGTTCCAAAATCTAGTGGAAAGGCTCCATATTGAAGCCTATTGTTTTGGAAGGACAAGCACATATGGAATTGATGTTTGAGTGTCTACATACTTTCAGCCATGTAGTAAACATACATACCACATGTATACTTCATATACACATACTTACTTATCTTTCTCCCCCTCTTAGGCCTCCGTCCTGCAGAATCTCCGCACAGCTATGCGTAGGCAGATCCGCCGGCACTCCTCTCGCCGTGGGACGTCCCGACGTAGGCTAGGTCGCCTGTGGAGCCGCCTTTTCCACCGTGGAAGCCGCTTGCGGGGTCAGATCCCCCTCCTCACACCACCCGGCCACACACACTCTCGTTCTCATGTCCAACCTGCAATCAGCCTTCAAGGATTCAGGGTGGCTGAAGCTCGCAGGGGTGAGTCTGAGCGGTCAGGAACCGGACATACCCCCTCACCCTGCTCCAGTGCTGCGCTGGGTCTGGCACTGCAGGCACATGCACAGGCTCTGCATTTACCCCAAAACGAGTCACCCCCATCTCCCTTGTCCCCTGCCTCGCTGCGATCAACCTCCGACACCCTGGACGACGAAGACGAGGAAGACAGTGACCACAGGTCTCCAGAATTAGTAGGTGACAGAATGAGGTCCAATCTGGATGATGGAGCACTCTCTGCTGGACATAGAGACATGGACAAACCTTCTGGAGCTCCAAATGATTCCTCAAATGGGACATATCGGTCACGGGTGTCCAGGAAAACTGTGCAAAGTCTGGCTGCAGAGCTAGGAGGAGTGACGGTCAAGTGTTATTCCTCACTGGCCATTTCGCCTCTTTCTTCTCCCGAGTCTCTGACCTCCTCCAGCAGCCAGAATGAGGATGAAGTGGGCTCTCCAACATACAAAGAAACTGAAATCTGCACAGACACAGACTCTAACACACACTCTGACACCCAAGCCCCGTCCCACCTTGATGACCACTCTAAGGACTGGTCAGTTAGGAATAAGACTGATATACCCTCACCTTGTGAACTCACGAGCAGTGATGAAGAGGAGGATGATGTTCCGTTTGTACACTGAAGAGCCTTTCTCTACTGTATGTGGAAATACTCTACGATGACCTTGCCAACATGGAGCATATGATTTAGAATATATGCTTATGGCTTCCTGCATTTATGTTCACTGAGGATCACACTAAGGGTGGACAGTATGGCCTAGAAATCATCACAATACTGGATCTTGATTGTATTCATAATAGTAAACATGCACCAGCCACTTAATTAGAAACTCCCATCTTGTAGGTCCCCCTCACGTGTGTACAGTTACAGACAGTAGCCCCATATTTTGATGCACAGTGTTAGGCATCCTCTAGCCTTTCACCAGTGGTCAGTTTCTGACGAGAGAACCACTCTTAACTTGATTTTCTTGGGTAGTGGAACACTCTCAGCCCCATCAGTGTTGCTGTACCTGTTACAGCCATACCAGCACCACATACCATGCCACTACCATGTCAGTGTCACTGCTGTGATGAGAATGGTCCGGAAATTGACCAGTCATGATCATATTGCAAAAAACATCATCCTGGCAAGTGAAATTAGATCTTATGTTCAGTCGAGATATCTAGAATTTCCCGATATTGTTGTTTACTAAAACAGGCGAAATTATCTGCCACTAGAAAACAATTCTATCTAGATAAAAATTATTTAAAACAATTTGCAAACGCCTAAAACTAAGTTTGTTTTGAACACTGTGTCCACTTACTGTCCCGTCTGTTACACTCTCCTACCTTGTTGATCCACTTTGTAGATATAAATCCGGGACAGTAGCTCATGAAGTGGTCACAGGATGCTGCCCACAGGACGCTGTTCGCTGTATGTTTTTGGTCATGGACTATTCAGCCCAGCAGTGCCACTGAGGTGTTTAAAAATTCCAGCGCAACACACACTAACACACCACTACCACGTCAGTGTCACTGCACTGCTGAGAATTTCCCACCAGCCAAATAATCCCTGCTCTGTGGTGGTCCTGGGGGGTGCTGACCATTGAAGAACAGGGTAAAACAGGACTAACAAAGTATGCAGAGAAACAGATGAACTTGTCTGTAATTGTAGAACTATAAAGTGCACTGTATAGTCAATTAAGCTGATAACATGGACAATAAGTGTAGAAACAGGGAGGTGTGACCTCACACGCTCACATACGTTTATCAGGCTGAAGATTGTCCACAAGGGGGCACTGTTAACACTCATGAAACTTTCAGTGGTGCTTTACATCAATGGCACTGTCCCTAATTGCAGTGTGAGGTAGAGAGTACCTTACAGTCTGTAACTGTACGCATTTTTAGTGGAGACATGAGGTGTTTCTAATAAAGTGGATGGTGAGTGTATATAAAATGGTAAAAATCTCAATGACAACATGCTTGTTTAAGAACTGTTGACTATTATGAATATAAGCCTTATTATCAAGATCTCTGGGATGCCAATTGCTGACCAACAAGTCTAACAGCTGGCAGACATCATTACTGATTCTGCATATAGTATGATGCAATGCCACATCAAAAACATGCATTGCTTGGACTATATTGCAGTATCACAATATTTAAAATTTCAGTTGACTGATTTATTTATCAATACATTACCTGGCTCTAATTTATACACTATGTCCAAATCAAATGGACATTCACTTACATATTCAGTGCAGCTAATATCCTCACCAAGTAGATACATATTAGAAATGAAATAAGAACTTATTTATGGAGCCATAACACTTTTGAGTCATAGACAGTGCATTTCTGTCTGGGTGCTGACTCAGTGCAGTAATGTACAGCTAACTTATTTTAAAGTTCTAATGGAGCTGTGGAGACTCCTTCTTCACTGAAACCTTATTCAAGACTCGTGACTCATCTTTTTTTATTTACAACATGTTTTTCAGTTTTTCATAACCAGAGCAGTGCTTGAACCGCCTCGACTACTAAACTGAGCTTTGCTGAATATTTCAGATGCAGGACGTTTAAGACTTTCGCAATGGACTTTTAATATAAAATGGCATTATTTTTTTAAATTCCCTCTTGGAATGTCTGAAGTCGGAGCCTTACCGGTACCCTGCTGCTGAGGGGTGCACTGAAGGAGTAGCCTACTTTTCGACGTATGCTTAACGCTGTGAAGTTGAACTACAGTTTCCTAGTTTTAGTCCCTCAGTAACCTGTACTGCAGTGTTTTGCTTTGTCTCTGCTCTAATGCTAGTGATTTAGCACTGGAAAATGAACTCAGAAAACCCTGGATGGAAGATGGCCATGCAGAATTCCTCAGTTAGTTAAATAACTTAAAGGAATATTCCAGAGTTTTTTCAACCTAATCTCTGTCTGCTATATGTGTATCGTACTATTGATTACCTTGGACAATAATTTCGATATGTTGCCCTGTATTTAAAAAAGGACCGAAAACCTGTTGACTCTAAATGGACTTATAATAGAAGCATTTGGGCACTTGCTGAATTCTGTCGGTAATTATTTATGTGAGGTATGTATTTTTTTCTAGAACACTTTAATGATAATTTGTATGATTAAAATCTGTCTAATTAGTTCTTTCAGAAGAGGGACTAGTTTTCCAGAGGAAAGAATTTGTGTAGTGTAGTGATATGAAAGGACATCATTGGCTCCTGATCAGCCATTGATACCAGAAAACAAAGTGTTGCTCCGGTGTTGACTTTACAAGACAAGCTTTGGTAAGACATTCTCTCATATCTGTTTCGTTGATATTTTTAATGTGCATTAATTTGATTATTTAAAATGTTTATTCAAGAAATTTAGCAACTGCCCATTGACTTGTAAGTCATTTTTGAGTACAAGCTAAATTTGAAATTATTGTCTGTGGTACTCAACAGTACATACAGTAAGGATAAGGTTGAAAAATGCTGGAAAACTACATAATGGAATGGAATACATTTACACAGTTTACCGCAAATGTAGGTGATCAGCCAAAACATGTTTGGTGTCCAAATTTGCTTCTTATTTCAGCACTGGAGCTATGAGGCTAACACTAGAACCCAGTAGTCACAGTCTTTTTCAGAAATGTATGCCCAAAACTCTCAGTCCATTCAAACCACATCCAGATTTTCATTACGGTTCTGCAGGCTTGTCAGTGTGGTTTATGACAATGTTTCTCAACTCTGGTCCTGGACGCCCACTGCCCTTTATGTTTTTTTTTTTGTTTGTTTTTTTTTCCTACTCCCAACACACCTGATCCAAGTAATCAGCTCATGACCAGCCCGTTATTGAGTTAAAGTGGCTGTGTTAAAGCAGGAAACGTATAAAATCTGCAGATCGAAGGGCCTCCAGGATCAGTGTGGCTGAATGTGTTATGTTATGCAGGCATATGGACGCTACAAATTCCATTCATGATTTCTGCTTTTCAAGTATAAATAGCTGTTTATTTTAAATTGTATTTACATTTTCACACTGAAGATACACATTCATAAATTAACTTTAACAGAAAAGCAAAAGTTGGACACCAAACATGTCTTGGTTGATGGACTACATAGAGGGTAGGTGGAAAATTGTGTAAGATTTTTTGCCAAACCATTACTTTGAAGCCAAACATCAAGACAGTCCAACAACAAGAAAGCTGCAAGTAACATTCCTGTTGAGAAATCATCAGTTTGTTTTAAGAAAAACATGCTTTTGTGAAAGTGGTTCGATATGGTCTTTCCAAACACAATATGAGCTGTGCACACAGGCTGGTGAATGCACCTGGACATAGAATGAACTAGTAAATCTCATGACTTGCAAATCTGATACTGCCTTCAAACAGGATAGAGACTGTAGTACATTTGCCTGGCAAAGAAGATGGCGTTTAGAATGAGTAGAGTGAGTTACTGTTCACCTGATCTCTCTGAATAGTCAGATAACAGTGGATTCAGATTGTTCATTTTCAGGCCCTTTCAGAATGAATGAAGTATATTAGTGCAGGTAAAACACTAAACCATGCAGGAAAGAAGTACTTAAGGACTGAACATGGGACACATTGTAGTAAGTGGTTTAATGCGGTCACCGTTGGCCAGGATTGTAGTCTCTCTTTAGAGATCTCAGGGAACGTGGGGTGGTTTCTGAGAATGTCTTCGTTCCAGTTCTGTTTCAGGAGCAGATCTGGTCAGCGTTTAAGGTTGGAGTGTGGAGATTTGCCTTCAGCCAGTCCACTGTTGATGTTCTAGGTTTTTCTTTAAGCAGCAGAAAGTGAGATAAGCAAAGATAATCACTGCTGTTCGTTCTTCAAGCATATGCTGTGTTGCCATTTTATCAGAAACACCTGTCATGTAGGTGCACTTTGTAGGTTTCCAGTTTCTGACTGTAGCCCATCTGTTACTGTACATTTATCAACCACCAAAGGACCACCGCTGATCAGATATTATTTGAGTGGCGGGCCATTTTAGATGGTGGCTGATAAATTGCGCAGCGGCAGATGGACATACATTTACTTCAGTAATTATAAACCTACAAAGGGCACCTAAATAGCTGGTGTTTGTGAGAAAATGACTGATGAATGTAGGTACAAGGTGATATACCTAATAAACTGGCGACACATGGTGTAATAGGCTGGGGATATGAGTGAATAAATACAGGAAGAAGGAAAAAGAAGGGAAGAATATTGAGGTGAAAGACAGCAGTTGAATTAAATTTGAATTAGGCCAGTTACCAGCAGCGCTCCTCAAAATTGAATTTCTTGTCTCTCTGTCTCTCTCTCTCTCTCTCTCTCTCTCTCTCTCTCTCCCTTACACACTGTCTCTCACAAGTTCTCTTTCTCATTTTCATGCTCTCTTCTTTTTCTCTCTCTCATGCACAATCTCTCTATTTGTCTTTCCTCTCACTATGTATTCCTCAATCTCTCCAGTCTCTTTCTGCCTATCTCCCTCTTCTTGCACACCCTCACTCTCGCTCTCTCTACTTTTTGTCTCCCTCTCTCCCCTCTCCCACTCACGCTCTCCCTCTGCCTCCTCTCCATCTCTCTCTCTCTCTCTCTCTCTCTCTCTCTCTCATGCACATGCTTTTCCTCTTGTATTCATTATTACACTGGCTGATGGATCTGACTAAAGATGTAAAAGGCCGTTGGCTGAAACAGGCAAAGTGCACTGGCTCCTCTGGACACAGCTGAGGAAAATGCATATTTTCTCTTAAGTTCGTGCAGTTTTTGTTTTCTTGAATGTCATGCAAATGTATGTACACTGTATGCCTCTGCCAAACTGTTTTTTCGGTCATGGATGTAACAGTAAGGTCAAAAGGAAAGGATGAATTTGAGCAATAAGCGACTGGTTTCTTGACGGTAGATGCTTGTGCTCTGACAGTACTTTAAACTCCTAGAAATGAAACTCTTAGAGGTCTGTTTCAGTGATGAAGGCATGTTGCTTCACTGAATGGTTTGCAGTAAGTCAGCTAGTTCAAGGGATACTCCAGTGTTTTTCACC